AAGGACTAGATTCCTGTAGCTCAGAACACAAAATTATCCCTCTTGCCCAGAAGTTAGGAACACTTAAAGCAGGCACAGCAACAGAAGTAAAGTTACCTGGCTTCTGTTCCACCTACAGGGACATGGTGAGAGATATGAAATCAGACCCTGATCAGTGTGGTCAGTTTCAACAAGTAATTCTTCCTCAGGAGAGATGCTTGGTAAAAGGCTTTCTAGGAAGATGAAATGGTGAGATTTAAGCCAAGCACAGCACTCTGAAATCACCAGGCCTAATGCTTACAGGATAACACTGTGTGATGTCTTTTTAAGGCAGCACATTCTTTATCCTTGAATATACAAGTTCCTGACAAAGACCTAGTGGCCAGCGTGGAAACCCTCACACCTGACTTCACGCCTCTGTACATTCATTCATTGATTCATTCACGCAACTAACATCAGCCCTCCATCAACAATCCTTTTGGGAGAGGAACAGTGTGCCAAACATTATGGTAGGCTTTGAGAAGAGAATGATAGTCAAACACAGGCATGATCCCTGCCCTGACAGAGGAAGATTCATGAATCAGTTGCACTAGTGGAAGTATAGAGGGAGGAGAGTGGCCTGGAGGAATGGAATATGGTTTTATGAGAACACCATAAACAGAAGGATCCAGAGGTATTATTGGGGTGGGGCCAGGGTAGACCTGGGAAAGTGTAATTCAAACCAAGATCTGAAGGATGCCCAGGATATGGCTAGAGGAATAGGGAGGGAAAAGTTGTCCACACTGGGAGGCCGTGCATGTGCAAAGGTTCTGGGGTAAGTTCAAGGAACCGAGAGACCAGAATGATTAGTAGTGGGAGGGAGGAAAGAATGGAGAAGGGGTAGGTTGTGGTGGTTAGTTAAGGGAGAGGGAGGGAGGGGTCAAGGCAGGACTTTGGAAGAGCATCCATACTGAAGATGATGTTGAGTTTGCCTTTGAACATGGAAGTGCTGAGTGACATAGATCAGGAACTCAAACCCCTCAGCTGGGGCAGTCATCAAGCATCCACAAGGTACATGTGATGGGTGAGGACATCAAGGGAGAAAACATACTGCCTCCTCAGAAAGGAAGGGGTCTCCTCATACTGGGTCATGAGCCCAGTAGGATGAGCATTTAAGAAAGGAGAATCCGTTCCCACTGACGACCTAAAAGGGTGGGTGGTCTCTATTTGCCTCTTCCTGCTCACCATTATCCACGTTCAGGTCCTTTTATTTTCTTTTAAGATTTGTTTATTTTTGCGTGCAAGAACTGGGGTACAGGCTAATGGTGCCGGGGGTGAGAGGACTCACCAGAGACAGAGTGGGGAGCAGAATAGACAGATCATACTGAGATACACTGCTGAGGGAATCAGTGGGCGAGGTAGGAGAGGTCTGCTGGGCCACGTGGGTCCCCTTCCTGGCCGGGGATTGAACTCACAGCTGCAGTGGCTGTGGATAGCATCATTGTGCTGCGCTTTAGCCCTTGAGCCACCAAGGAAGGCCCAAGTTCAGGTCTAATAAAGTCATGTTTGACCTGGGTGCTGCAAGAACCTGATCACCCATTACTTTTCATTTTATGCACACACAGATCACTTGGGTTCTACATAAAGGAAGATTCTGCGGTTGAAACCTGAGATTCTAAATTTCACAAGCTCTTAGGTGATACGCATCACATTTTGAGAACTGAGGGGAGTTGGTCTCCCTGCTTTTGAAGATCGGCGCCCTCACACCCAGCTTCCTGATCGGCCTGCCTGGGATCAGGAGCCCTCTATCACCCTCCGCCACTCGACACATAAAATGCCCTTTCAGGATCTGCTGCAGCCGCCTGTGGCCAGCCTTTGTTTCCTCTCTCTGCTTCTTTTATCTATCCTTCATTGCGTAGAGCCCCTCACTCTGAAGTTAGCCATCTCCTTTTCTTGTGGTTCAGAAAAGGGATATAGAGACTCACCAGGACAGCTTGCAGTTTTTCATGAAATTAAAAATCTACTGAGTGGTTTTTAAACTTTTCTGTCTAAAATCCCACATGAAAGTATTTTGTGAATCTATTTACTCCCTCACACATTTTTAAGTTTACATCTACATTTTTTTATCAAATGCTTGCAGAAGATGTGATTTCCAGTTTAATGTAAACATTGATATTTTTAAATAAAACTATTACATCACTGTTTATCCAGTGGAATCTAAACACCATAGCAATTTAATACCCACCATCAGTCACTTAAAAAAATGCATGAACACACTCTTTGTTAATAGTGTTCCTTTTTTCCTCCTTGAAATTTTATTTGTTTCACTTCCCCCATGAGATTTGATCCTAATGTAATAGATGCAGTATATCTTTATGCTGAGAACTCCTTCATTTGTTTCTGTCATATTTTTCCTTAGCAATTTTTTATGAAATTAAAACTTTTTAATTTCCTGCAATCCTAAAGCTCTAAGTATTAGAATTTTCTTCTGGTTGGAGTTACCGTTACATTTATTAATAGCACATAGTTGATCAAAATAACATAAATGTATTACTGATTTGGATAAATAATTAATAAACATAAAAACTCAAATTATATTTAAATGCTTCCCTTAGCGAGTTGGTGATGCTGGATGATTTTTTAAAATACGTCTTTTAATTGATGTTTAACATATTGAGTTGTCCCATAGTGCACATGCCAGGCACTTAGCACCCTGGTCCAGAAATAGAACATTGCTGGGACTGGCTTATTACTTCAGTTTGTCCATTTATCCATGGAAGATCATTATTTGTCACTACCATGAGACCAAGATCAGCATGGACTGTATTTGCAGTTTTCATGTCTATGTAATCAGTGAAAACCTTCATTCCTGTGACTGGCAACTGGGAAGATACGCTTTGTTCAAGCACAGTCACTCAGTTCTTGCACTGCTTCTGAGTTAGATGCCATAGTGATCTATCACTAACAGTTATAGTTTAGTTACTTCTATTAGGCCTCCTAGTAAAAAGAGCATTGCAAAGAAGGTTTACTACTCATTTAGCGCACATTATCTCAATTGCTGAATGTCCTCCTTGTGATGACTCGGAAGAGAGGGAGGTTTGTCCCTGCAGCAGTAAACCCCATTACTATACTGTCAGTAATCCCCATGGAATGGGGACAGGAGTTCCTTTTTGTTTTTTTTTTAAGATTTATTTATTTATGTATACAGAGCTGGGGTTCAGGCCAGAGGTGCAGGGACGGTGAGAGGGTTCACCAGAGGCAGAGTAGGGAGCAGAACAGGCAGATTGATTGAAATACACTACTGAGGGAAGCAGTGGGCAGGCCTGGAGAGGTCTGCTGCACCATGTGGGTCACCTCCGGGGTGGGGATCAAACTCACACTGAAGCAGCTGCAGCCAGCTTACAGTGCTGCATCCCAACCTCTTGGACCACCAGGGAGGGCCCAGGAGCTCCTTTCTTTTGTAAAGGACAGCAGGGCTGTTGTGAAAGAGCAAAGTATAGAAGTTCAGCTTACACCTCTGTCATCCATCAGTTCTAGAAAGGAGTTTCTCTGGAGACTGAATACCTGAAAATTGGTTCTCCTAAAACTGAGTATGAGTGCAGTGTGGGAAGGTCTTCCAGCGGGAAGCCAAGGCTCACACATCCCAGTGGGAAGTGCACGAAAAAATCTAGTAGGACTCAGATTTTAGGACACCATCCAAACGTCCCAGCTTGTGTTTTTTGTTTGTTTGTTTATTTTTTGTTTTTTTTTAAGATTTATTTATTTACGCATACAGAATTGGGGTGCAAGCCAGAGGCGCAGGGGCAGTGAGAGGCTTCACCAGAGACAGAGTGGGGAGCAGTACAGGCAGATCAACGAAGTACACTGTTGAGGGGAGCAGCGGGCGGGTCAAGAGAGGTCTGCTGCATCATGTGGGTCACCTCCAGGGCCCCAGAGATTGAAGTCGCACTGAAGTGGCTGTTGCCGGCTTGCAGAGCTGCGTCCTACCCTGTTGGGCCACCAGGGAGGATACCCAGCCTGTGTTTCTAAGGGGGAGCGTCTGGTTGGCCAGCCTGTTTGTGCCAGGCTACAGCATAGGTTTCTGGGCTCAAAGTGGTCTCCCCCAGCCCTGCCCCTGCCACACACACACAGATATTTCTCTAAGCAGGGACCATCGGAAGCAGGTCACAGTGCTGACCTACAAGCAGCTAACACATGTGCAGTACTCTTCCTTGAACTTTCTCCAGTTCTGTTCTTCCGCAGGAAATGTGCTCTGCACTCTGAGTCTCCTTACCTGTTATTTTCACCTTTTCATTCCATACAGCTCTTCTCTCCTGATGGTGAAGTTCCTCAAGAGCTAGCCACATCTTAATCGTTTCCTAGTAGTGGCTTTACATGCAGTAGGTTTCTAAGAAGCATTTGCTGAACAGAAAAATTGGTTAATGAATGTCTTCAATTTCTCTGTATCTCTATGGTTTTTCAAATACTGCTGGGATTTCAATAGCATGGTCCCAGAAGAGTGGAGGAGTTTATCAGTAAACAAAACAGTGAACTAACAGATCAAGCCATTGAACTGTGGCTTGAAAGTAAGAGTTCTAAGGGCCCTCCCTGGTGGCGCAACAGGTTAAAGCACATCATTATGAAGCGGTCGCAGCCACTGCAGCACGAGTTCGATCCCCATCCAGGGAGTTGACCCACGTGGTGCAGCAGACCTCTCTTGTTCCTCCTGCTGCTCTCCTCAGCAGTGTGTTTCAGTCAACCTGCCTGTTCTGCTCCCCACTCTGTCTCCGGTGAATCCTCTCACACTGCCCCTCTGGCCTATCCCCCAGTTCTTGTGTGCATACAATAAATAAATCTCAAATAAATAAACAAATAAAATGATCTGTTTAAAAAAGAAGAGTCTCAATGCACATGAGAATATGTTCTGCAAAATCAGTGTAAAGGGTGTGGAGTCCAGGAAACTAGCTATTTCTAATCGAGTCTCCTATTTGGTATATCTATAGTTTGCTTGGCACAAACCATCCTCGTAAATCCTTCCCTGTCCTTTGCATCTCATCTTGCAGGTGTGAGCAGCAGTTCTTCACCGCGGTGGTGTTTGGTCCGGACCCCAGCCCGGGTGAGGATGTAAGAGGCGCCGCCCTGCACATGCGCGGTACAAGCCGACAGGAACACCTGGGCCCAGCCACGCTCACAGACATGTCAGCCGTGGAATAGTGTGGACGCTTTCTCTCAGCTTCTCAGGGTTTCAGTCCTTCTGGATTTGTTTCATTTACCTTTTTATATGGTTTTGTGGCTGGACGTTCACCACCAAGGCAGGCATCATGGGGGATCAGCAGCTATACAAGACCAACCACGTGACCCACGGTGGTGAGAACCTTTTCTACCAACAGCCACCACTCGGCATCCACAGTGGGCTGAACCACAACTATGGGAATACAGTCACGGGGGCTGGGATGGATGCCTCTCAGGCATCACCCATCTCCCCCCACTTCCCTCAAGATACTCGGGATGGTCTAGGCTTGCCTGTTGGCTCCAAAAACCTTGGCCAAGTGGATACCTCCAGGCAGGGAGGGTGGGGTGGCCATGCAGGGCCTGGAAACCATGTTCAGCTACGTGGCAACCTGAGCAACTCAAATATGATGTGGGGGACACCGAGCCAAGCTGAGCCCACTGATGGCTACCAGTATACCTACTCCCAGGCTAGTGAGATCCGGACCCAGAAGCTCACCAGTGGTGTTCTGCACAAACTAGACTCTTTCACCCAGGTGTTTGCCAACCAAAATCTGCGAATTCAGGTCAACAATATGGCCCAGGTGCTGCACACCCAGTCAGCAGTGATGGATGGAGCTTCTGACAGTGCCCTCCGCCAGCTGCTATCCCAGAAGCCCATGGAGCCGCCGGCATCGGCCATACCTTCCCGCTACCAGCAGGTGCCGCAGCAGCCTCACCCTGGTTTCACCGGGGGGCTGTCCAAACCAGCTCTTCAGGTCGGGCAGCACCCTAGCCAAGGACACCTGTATTATGACTACCAGCAGCCACTGGCTCAGATGCCAGTGCAGGGAGGGCAGACACTGCAGCCCCCACAGATGCTGTCCCAGCACATGCAGCAGGTGCAGCAGCACCAGTATTACCCACAGCAGCAACAGCAGCAAGCTGGCCAGCAGCGGATGTCCATGCAAGAAATGCAGCAGCAACAGCTTCGCCCACCACAGCCGCAGCAGCAGCAACAGCAGCAGCAGCAGCAGCAGCAGCAACTTCAGCTGCAGCAGCGGCAGGGTTCCATGCAGATACCTCAGTATTACCAGTCCCAACCCATGATGCAGCACTTACAAGAGCAGCAGCAGCAACAGATGCACCTACAGCCCCCTTCATATCACAGGGACCCCCACCAGTACACTCCGGAGCAGGCCCACGCTGTCCAGCTGATTCAGCTGGGCTCCATGCCCCAGTACTACTACCAGGAGTCCCAGCAGCCCTACGGCCACTCCCTCTACCAGCAGAGCCACCTGCCCCAGCACCAGCAGCGTGAGGACAGTCAGCCCAAGACCTACCCGAGTGATAGACAGAGCCAGGCCATGCTGAGCTCCCATGGGGACCTGGGGCCTCCTGACACAGGAATGGCAGACCCAGCAAGCTTGGACCTGAACCGGGCCAGCAGTGCCCTACCCCATCGGCCACTCCTGTCCCCCAGTGGGATCCACCTCAACAACATGGGGCCTCAGCACCAGCAGCTGTCTCCCGGTGCCATGTGGCCCCAGGTATTCTCATAGTGGCAGTTTCTCCCAGAATCTTAGTGTGCTGCAGGGGCAGCGGGTGCTGAGTCTGTGCAGCTCCTTCATCCCTTTTGTTCTTCATTCAGGCCGTAATGTCAGCCTACATGTGCCAGATACTACCTACGCAGGCATTCGGAGTCCAAGTCGGTTTTTGCTGGGTGTTTAGCCACTGAGCCTATCATCTCACTAAGGCGATGGGCAAAATACCGTATCAGGCCCTGAATGATGCATGTAGTGAGCAAGGCCTAAGTGTCCAGGCACCACACAGTGGGAGCGTCTGGTCCCTCTTGGATCTGACAGCCAGTGCGGCCCCCGCAGAGGCTGTCTCAGCACATCTCTAGCACATGCAACAGATGCAGCAGCACCGGTTTTACCAATAACAGCAAGTTGGCCAGCAGCGGATATCCATGCAAGAAATTCATATGCAGCCGCCTTTAATATGCTCACGGGCACAGGCACTCCCTGTGAAATTGTTTCCCTTTTGGGAGTGAGACCGTATTTTCAGTCTCTCTCAAACTACATTACTCAGAACAGGCATGCCATAGGATGCTTGATGACTGTTGCAAGGGGGACACGTGAGTCCTCTGCATAAACTTCAGGTACCTTAAAGTGAAACAGGTTACCATGCTATAGAGCTCCTCAGTGCCTTTAATATGCTACTGTGCACTGACAATCTCCAAAAGGGTATATACCATTTCATGAAGCAGAGATTTGAAACCTTGGCCGCTCAGAGGGTCCAGGCAGGTAAAGCACATAAGCAAAATGGCTGGGTATGAGATGATAGGGAGTGGTGGTAAGTGGTGGATGGCAGAGCAGATTGCCATCTAAAAGCATCCTAATTCCGGATTGTTAAATAAATAGCCAAATAAAGCATGTCTGCAGGCCAGAATCAGCCAACCGTTATTAACCTTTGATGGTTTTGCAAATGTGCTTGACCACAAAGCAGCTACCGTATGTTGGGTATTGCTCAGGCCTTGATTTGTTCCAAGTATATGCTCACGTGACAAGCTTAGGGAAGGAGGGAACCTTGAAATAGGACAAGGTTGATAGAGAGGGCTCTGACAGACGGTGAAGACCAGAGATGACCCTCTGTTTATTGGGAGCTTGTGCTTAGCAGTAACTAACACCCTCCGTGAATCTAAGAACCAGATGACGCAGGCAAGGCTGATAAAGGATTTCCAGCTGGATGTGTCCTGCATGAAACTGACTTTATAACTCTCCCTGGAAGAAAACCTGCCTTTATAGAAAGGGCAGACTGGGAGAATAGGAAGGATTGAGTTGGAGGATTGAGTCCCAGCAGGCCTGTGGCAGTGGGCAGCCCCGAGAGTAGCGCCACGGTCCCATGGCAGAGAGCAATCAAGGAAAGAAGTGTCAAGTCCAGAATTCTGAGTGAGAGCGAGCAGTGTGAGACTGATCAGCAGGAGGCAGATAGCACGATGAGCTCTAGAAGTAGCAACCCTGGGGGTCCTGCCCCTCAAGGATCCCTCCCCACAGAAACACATTTCTGTTTTGTTTTCTTTCTTTCGGTGTCCTGCTTGGCTCAAAATTAGATGCACCTACCTGATGACAGAGCCCGGCCAGGGTCCCCTGAGTCAAGGTAAGATGGATGACAGGAGACTTGTTGACACTTTGGGAGACTGGGAGGTTTTCCTAGGTTGTCTTTCATAATTTCCAAATTCAAAGTCAGCTCCTCAGAGGCTGTTGTGTTTGAGCACATATTGTGTGCTAGACCCTGTATATCGTGTCTCATAGAGGTGAGGGTAAGTATGATTTTCATGTGCCTAGTACATAGATAGCGTTCACCTCCATGAGCTATTACTGTTACTTTACAAATGAGAAAACTGGGGCTCAGAGAGCTTAAAGTTGCACATCAAGTGAGTAGCAGTGCTGGTATTGACTCCACAGCACATGTTCTGTGCACGATCCCCTTATTCAGTCACTGTGCAGATGGAGTCCCTGCTGTGTGCCAGGTCTACAGCTAAACTGAGATGCTGCAGTGAATGGTTTAGACTGTGCCCTCTCGTCAGAGGCATTGTAGATAATTAAGGACCTGAGAAAGTGCTAATACATGCACCCTGGAGGTGAACCAGAGCACATAAACATGTGACTCTAAAGGACGGCTTCTGGGAGAGGTGGCCTGAGCTGACCCTATGTGGCAAATAAGCGTAGATATGAAAAACCCAGCACCTCAGGGTCTAGAAAAAAGAAGGATGTTGAGTGCAACCCTTCCATGACTTCAAGCAAGGCCTTTCCCACCCCGAGCCTCAGTTTTTCGAATCAGTAAATTGGACTTAGTTCTCTGACGGGTATTGGAGTGACGTGGTGTGGCCGTGAACGTGGGAACATTGAATGAAAACAGTGTGTTCATTGTGGGGTGTGAAATCTTGTGCTAAATTGCTCTTCCCCTTCAACGTGAATGTCCTCTCCATTTGGCCCTCCCCCTGAGCAGTGGCCAACCGAAAGGCGTGTTTGGGGAGCAGTTTGACGCCAAGAACAAGCTGACGTGCTCCATCTGCCTGAAGGAGTTCAAGAGCCTGCCTGCCCTGAACGGCCACATGCGATCACACGGGGGGATGAGGGCTTCCCCCAGCCTCAAACAGGTTAGAGGAGCCAGCTCCAGCCTTTCCTGGGCCTCGTTCTACTTGCTTTGCTTTGCTGCGGTCAGACAGTGACGTAAGCCCCATGCAGGCAGCTGGGGAGGAACAGTCCCTTCCTGAGGAATAGCTTGAGCTAGGATGCTGGGAGCCTCAGGTCAAACAGCTCCCATTTCCACTGGCTTTATGAATAAGGATCAAAGCAAAAGTGTTATGCTTCTTTTAGGGGTTCCCAACTCTCATCTCCCAGACAAGACAGCAAAGAAAACCATGTAGATGCAGTATTATTTTTAACTTCTGCTGCTTGAAACACCCAAGGCAGGATCACTTACCCTTCTAAATCAGGAGTGGATAGCCAGGGAGAGTCAATGTAACCAATGGACTCCTAGCCAGCATTTTTTAGTTACCAGTGCACAAATGTTAGGCTCTAGCATGCAAAAAAAAAAAATCTTAAAATACTCTCAGGATTATCCACGAAGGCTCTCCTTGTGTGAACTATCCATGCAGTTTTAGAGTTAGATTAAAATTCAAAGAATTTCCTCAGAACTCTTTGTCTATTGTGGATCTTTATTTAAATATACAGGATTAACTCTGTTCACCATAATTTTGGATAATCCAGGTCACTCCTCCTGACCACTCCAGATAATACAGCTTTGTCTTCACTATTTAAAAGAAACAACATGTTTTGTATTTTCAGTGTGGTTCCCAACTTGCATATAATTTAAGATGGAATGCCTGTCTGCATTTAACAGATTTTTAAGTAAACTGAGGCCCGTAGGATCAAAAAGTGCTATACAGAAGCATTCCTTTTTGTGCCTATTTACAAGCACATACATATCCTTTGCTTAAAGGCGGTGCTCACGACACACATACACATTTTTAATAGTTGTTCCAGTATACAAGATACACAGTCAAGATTTTTCCAGTGCCAACCGCCAAGTGGCATCCCTTGAAGCCAGGGGACTCAGGGCTGCAGGAAGAAAGCTACCATGCAGTGGTTCCCTGCCACCCAGGCCTGATGTCCTGGAACCTTTCAGGAAAAGCAGACTGAGTGCCCCTCGTGAGGCTGCCCTCAGCCCAGGATCAAAGCCTTTATTGTCTGTGTAGGAGGAAGGAGAGAAGGCCCCGCCACCTCAGCCCCAGCCGCCACTGCCGCCTCCGCCGCCACCGCCACCGCCACCGCACCTCCCTCCCGAGGCTGAAAGCCTCACGCCTATGGTCATGCCCGTGTCTGTCCCTGTCAAGCTTCTCCCGCCCAAGCCCAGCTCTCAGGGCTTCGCCAACAGCGTCGCTGCCGCCCCCTCCACCAGAGACAAGCCAGCCAGCTCGATGTCGGACGACGAGATGCCCGTGCTCGTGAGGATGACCCTCTCTCCCCCACACTCACCCCAAGGGGCTGTCCCCCGCACGCCTGCTGTGAGTTGCTGCTCTGCCCTGCCTGCCTGGGGTGGGGACATCCCTTTGCTTTCTTGGAGATGGGGACAGCTCCTCCAGGGTCACAGACGTCACTGGCCTGAGCTCAGGTGTGGCCTGACCACTCAGGTCAAGCCCCCCCATGGTCACCTTGGGAATACATTCTTCATCCGCACTGCCCACTGCCCATTCAGTGCCTGTTCCTCTACCAGACTAACTTCTGGGTTAGAAGTAGAAAGAGTAACTCAGCTGGTAATCACTGATACAACTGCATGAGTTACTGAAATACAGAAGTACTGTCTCAGATAATAAATAGCTATTGCCCGGGGCACTAGCCCCTCTCCCAGGTTCTCCAGAGCGCCCCAATTCCAGCAACCAAGGATGTAACCACCTCCGGCACAGCAGAGCCTCCAGGCAACAGCCCAGACATCCATTCCAATGGTCAGCCTTACCAGGTGATTGGGATTTCTAATACTACACCTGCTTAACTTCTCTTGGAGAACCTAATTCATTAAGGGTCACAAAGTAATTCCACTCAAAGGCACCTACCCCCAGTCTCAGGAAAGCAAAGAGATTTGTGTTTCTCACTCATTGTTAAGTTCTCTCTCAAATTCCACGTGCTTCAACCAAGCCGCTTAGCTTGGCTCTGGGACAGAGTTTTCTCCCTCCTCCCTCTCTCATTTCTCCTCTCTCTCACTTTCCCACCCACCCTCCCTCAGGCGTCTGTAACTACAGCAGATTTGTCTTCTCCCCACAAAAGGTAGTGCCCATCATATTTGCCCTTAGAAAACAGGTGACTGCTGTGATTTCAGGTGACATGAAAGTTGGTTAGGGCCAGAATAGGGCTAGAGACAACAATTAAGAGAACTAGAAAAGTCCAGAAAGGCTTTTTTGGTTCTTGATGTAATATGAAAGCTTCATAAGAGGAGAGGATGATGAACAAGTCCTGGGGGTAAGGATTTTCTTAAGCTGGCAGGACTTGGAAGCCAGCAACAGACTGAAAGATTAAATAGCATAGTCACCCTCCCTCTTTGTCCAGAGCAGCTCCTGATTTGGTGGGAGACACTTGCTTCCCTTGGAAAAGTTCAGCCTGAAACTGGAGGTACAGGAAGGGGTGCCTAGTCACTTAAGGGTTAGAACCCCAGGTGCACCCACCCCATTCAAGAGCATGAGAGTAACATCGGGGTCCAGGAAAAGCAGTGATTACCTGGGTGTTGCTGGAAGGGATACACCTGGTTGCTAAGTAATTTGGAACTCTAATTAGTAATTAGGAGAGGTAAGGGAGTTTGGAGTTGCTCAGAGGAGATAATCAGGAGGGGATTTATAAGCAGGATTTTAAAGGCAGAGATGAGCCTGCCTTTGTGGAAAGGGTGAGACATCACAGGTGGGGAGATAAACTGAGGAAGCATATAGGTGGGATTGAGTAAATAGGAGCAGTCTTGGCACTTGATATAAAGAAATTAAAACATCTGGGTTCTCATCACCACTCCGCACCTACCCACGTTAGAAAAAAGCAGCTGAGACTGCCTCCCTCAGTCTCAATTTCGCCGTTGACCTTGGGAGGAGTGGAACTCATCAATGGTTCTCACTTTATGGGAAGCTTTGAACCTTTCAGAACTGGGACCCGCCCCTAGAGAATCTGAAAACCAGGTTGGCAAGAGTGGAACATGTCAATGCTGCCTCTCAAGAGAACCCCAGGTCTGACAATCTAGGTGGCTTCTTCAGGCCAGGCTCTCAGGGCTTTGCTTGGAGGACCAGGAAACCTGGGTATAGAGCTGGAGCCAGAGGACTAGAGGGAGCCTGACAGGAACCATCAGTCGTGTGATCAGAGGTTTGGATTCCACTGCAGGAATCACCTAAGATCTACATGAGCTCATCCGTCACCCAGAAACTAAATTTCAGGATTGTACCCTAATCTGGGGAGCACCAGCATCCCCTGCCTGTTCTCCTCAGCCCCTTCTCTCCATCTTTACCTCAGGGAGTGAGGAGCCCTCTGGTGGGTAGAGGAGCCGGGCTAGTGCCTTCCGACCTCAGGAGAGCCTCCTGCAGGGGAGATAGGGCTTTCCAGCCTCCACACTGGAGCTAGAGCCCAGAGACGGGGGAGGAGAAGGAGGGACTCCTGTGCCTCTCCACCCTGCATCTTCCTCCCCACCCCTGACTGTAACAGCCTTAGGGGTTAGGAAGGCATTCCAGAGGACTGAAGGGGAGGATGAAACTGGAGGGGCAGCCAGAAGGGCTGAAGGCAGCAGTTGGATGTCAGAGGGAGAGCAGCTTCCCCACCCCCATCAGCGTAGGGCATTGGAACAGGTCACGTGGTCTGGAGGCAGCTAGTCATGTGACCATGGGCAGCCCTTCCCGTCATCCCCCGCTGCCTCCTAGTCAGGCGCCACCCTGGGCACAGGAATTGCCTGGGACTGCAGCTGTGACTGACATTGGCCTGCAGGGCCTGGGAGGGTGCCACAGACTGCCCCAACCTTTCTGCAGGTACCCCTCGCCTCTCCCAACAACCGCTGCCTCTCCAGCCACACCCACCTCTGGGTTTTCTGGGCGGATGCTGGCACACAAGTTTGTTTCTGTTTGGCTTTGGCATGCCCTGCTCATCTATTTACGTGCATATGTTTACTTATTAGTATATATGTATCCATGTGGCAGGTCTTCCTTCCAGACTATGCTTGGTGCGGCTGCGGTAAAATAAACTAACATTGCTGACAGGAAACTGACCCTGGAGAAGGGTTTGCTACAAAATGAGCCGTCAGTGTTGGACGCACTAGTGAGGAGCGGGGAGCCGGGAGGTTAAACCAGGTCCTTGAGACGGCCTTAAAGATAAGCACAGATGGCGCGCTCCCTCAGCCCCAACGTTACCTCAAAGGAGAGCCCAGTGCGGGTCACTGGCCCCGGGAGCTTTGACTGGCCTGACCCCTTCTTCCCGCCACACAGCCTCTGCCACCACTTCGCGGAGTACACTCCTCTGGCCCCTTCTCAGAACGTGTGGTAGCTGTCCCGAGGGCTGTCCTCTGGAAGCACTGGGGAGTTAAAGGGCCCACTCAGCTGGATTCCACTCAAAAGAAGGGAATGCAGTGATGAGCAATAAATATGTGAATTTATTCCTTTTGCCCACCCAGTATTCCTACCACCACCCCCGTCTCTCCAGACATTGAGGACTCCCTCCTAAACCAACGTTCTCTCCCTAGTCAGAACTGGCGTTATCTGAAATGGACGTGGCTGTATCTTAAAGCCGGGGGCCCTGGGGGTCAGGCTAGTGAAAGCGGGTCCCCGGCAGCACAGAAGTCCACCTTCCCCTCGACCTGTGGAAACGCCCTGTGGAGAAAGCCTGGGTTTTTTAGTCAGATCGTGCCTCCCGTTCTAGGAAATCCCCAGGAAACATCAGCCCGGCGGCGTTGCCAAGGCTGAGGAAACCCTGAAGACCTTACCCGAGAAGGAGAAGAAAAAGTTCCGGCACCGACCTGAGCCGCTCTTCATCCCGCCACCGCCCTCCTACAACCCGAACCCCACCGCCTCGTACTCGGGCGCCACCCTGTACCAGAGTCAGCTGCGCTCCCCGCGCATCCTGGGGGACCACCTGCTCCTGGACGGTGCCCACGAGCTGCCCCCCTACACGCCCCCGCCCATGCTGAGCCCAGTGCGCCAGGGCTCAGGGCTCTTTAGCAACGTCCTCATCTCCGGGCACGGCCCTGGCGCCCACGCCCAGCTGCCCCTCACGCCGCTGACGCCCACCCCGCGAGTGCTGCTGTGTCGCTCCAGTGAGTCACCACTTTTGCCTTTTCCTGAACTCTGAGGTGAGGGGTGGGTGGAGGTGGGGGGGTTCACCTCTGGCGGTGCTGGCTTCTGCCCCGGAAGGTCTCGCTTTCTTCATTTGCCCTGTTTATCCCACAGACTCTAGGGGGCTTGTCTACTGTATGTGTCAGGCACCGTGCTAGGTGCTGGAAATACTTGGAATAAATACAAAATTATTGTCCGTAAGGAAATCACAGGCTAACTCGGGAGAAGGCACGAAGCCATGACGGCCTCTGAGCGATAAGGAAACAGTTGATGTGTGCAAACACTCAGTAAGACTTTGCTGTGTATGATTGCACCAGACACCCAAGATAAATGTACTAAGTAGATGTACACATAGGATTAAATACAATATGAAAGGCCAGGCCCCCACATTCTAGTATGTTGTGTAAGGCTCAAGCATGGAGACGCCTTTAGTCAGAATCACTTTCTGGAGCAAGAATAATTTGAAAAAATGCCGTTTAACTGACTAGAGTGGCTTCTCCCTGCCCTGTGTGAGAAATGGGTAACCTTAAGCTATTCAGTATCACCAGTTCTTGGGAGACTTTCCTGGGTATCCTGGCATGGGTTGGGTAGGAGAGGGGTGCTATAATGACTGCGTGGGTAACTGCCCGTTGAATTTACTTTCTTCAGTACCCCTTCCCTGTTGACCAGTGGCCTCTGGTTTTTGTGCTTCAGACAGCATCGATGGCAGCAACGTGACAGTCACCCCAGGGCCTGGAGAGCAGACCATTGATGTTGAACCGTAAGGAACAGCCAGTCATTCTTGAGTACACAACCCTCAGCTGAGGAAAGGAATCAGGAGCTTTGAAAAAGGGCAGTTAACACTTCTGGGGGCAGAGTGGCCACTGACAGAGAAGTTAGGAATGGTAGATCCATGCACATCATTTGCCTTTTATTGCCAGTGTTCGAGGCCTTTACCAGAGACTAAGTGCATAGTAAAAGCATGAAGCCTATACTCACAAAACCTGGTGTTCCCATCCCTGGCTCCCTGGGCCAGTTTGAATGTGGCCACATGCTTTCTTATCCCCAGTGGTACCAGGGCCCTCACAGGGTGCCCAGGGTTTCTACCCAAACATCCTTGCTTCCCTCATCCATTTGGCCAGTTCTCCGAATGGGCTTGAGTTCTTGAGTGGTAGTAGAGGGATATAATGGAAGGGAAATGTCATTCTTTTTATGAATAAACACAGAAAAGAGGACAGGTGAGGCACTGGTGAGTAGATTGAGCCAGGAGTTAGAAAACCTGAGTTTCAGCACCATTTTGTTACTTGATCAAGTTAACCTTTCTAGGCTTTCGCTAGTTCATCATTAAGTGGGACTAATTACAACTGCCTTGCTTACATCATACACCTTTGTGAGGTTCAGATGGAATAATTCATGTGAAAGCAGACTGAAAGGAATGAAAATGAAGTAGGCACTCTATTTGTCCCATTTTTCCTGGCTAAGTGGTGCCAATCAACCATGCGGGTTCTGCCACTGTGAGCAGCTATTCCCTTGGAATCTGCACCCTATTCTCCCAGCTGTAGGGTTCTGCAGTCTGCCCAGGCAGACGTCTCTCCTGCTCCCTTCAACTCGTTCCCTAATCTTAAAGCTGTTACTTATCCCAGTGAAAAGGCCAGGACTAGAATCTTAGGAAACTGTGAGGAAATGCCCCTACATTCTTCTTGAAGAAAGAACTGGTTTCTTTCTTTTTCAAGTTCCTAACAGTTGCCCTTGGCCTGAAATTGAAGACCCTATTACTGTTTTTCTTCTTGTTATTAAAGACGCATCAACATTGGCTTGCGGTTCCAAGCAGAGATCCCAGAACTCCAGGATGTCTCTGCCCTGGCCCAGGACACACACAAGGCCACACTGGTATGGAAACCCTGGCCAGAGCTGGAAAACCACGACCTCCAGCAAAGAGGTGAGGTACTGCCAATGTGAAGGCCACGGAGGGAAAGGTTTGATTTTCTCACCAGGGTGTCTGAATCCAGGATCACTGTGCTTTTCCATGATACTGGGCTTTTCTAATGCACTGGTTTCTTTGTTCCCAACAGTGGAGAATCTCCTGAATTTGTGCTGTTCAAGTGCATTACCAGGTGGAGGGACCAATTCTGAATTTGCTTTGCACTCTCTCTTTGAGGCCAAAGGTGATGTGATGGTAAGCAACCATGAAGAGTAGGCTCAGAGTTCATGTTCTTCGTGTCAGAATTCTCAGGTTCCTGTGTGTCTTTTCCCACTTACCATGCCACCAATTCATAAGATGATGACTAGTCAGCACGCCTCCGTGTTCCTTATCTCAGAGACTAAGTCAGGATTTAAAAGCCTTCAAGAAAGCCTCCAGTTGGAATTCTGTTTACACATCTGTTCCTAAGTTACAGCTGTAGGTACAGCTGTCTTGGGAAATTAACATTTCTTCAGCAGTCTTGTATTTACATCAGAAAAGCATATCTCCTGTGGAGGTAGAAGACCTTACTGAAACAAGATGTGGCCTAAACTAGTCTCTTGTGTTCTGCTGATTGTTTTTCCCCACTCCAGAAATCAGCCAAAGTCTGATGTTCATATGGAACTCTTTTAGCCTCTAAATAGAATGAGCTGCTTGCTGTCTACCAACTGGGTGTCATTCTTCTGTCTTTGACTCAGTTCTTTAGTGCCTCAAACCTCAACATTGGTTCCATCCTCACAGAATCAGAGATGACCATTTGCCTGTTTCACTGGACTCCTAGCAAAGGCACGCAGTCACTGTTCTCAGTTTCCCTTTTAGTAAATTAAGTGATCCTTATACCAGATCCAGCTTCCTGGGTTTTGATTTTATGAAAATATGACAGCAAATGTCTCAAGACTGCTTTCTCAAAAGATAATTGATACCCTTCAAAGATGTTCTAGGACGTCTGCGAACTCTCCTTAGCCCTGGGAGGTCAGCCTTGCAGACTGTGCTTCTCTAGCTTTCAACGTGCATGAGCCACCTCAGAAGCTTGAAATTCAGGTATTTAGTTAGCAGTTGTGGAGTTGGACCCAAGGCTCTGCAATTCACACCTGCAGCCAGGGTTGAGCATGCTGCTGGTCTATGGGCCACAATTGAAGTAGCAAGATTCTAGATCTTGTTTTCCACTCATCTCTGCCTGCAGCATTTTTTTTTAAAGATTTTATTTTTGCGTAGAAGAACTGGGGTGCAGCCTAGAGATAGAGATGCAGATTGTGAAAGGATTCACCAGAGTGTGAAAGGATTCACCAGAGACCGTAGGGAACAGAACAGGCAGGTTGACTGAAAAACGCTGCTGAGGAGAGCAGCGGGTGAGACAGAAGTCTGCTGCGCCATATGTGGGTCAGCTCCCTGGTTGAGGATTGAACTCGGGCTCTAGTGATGGTAGGGGCTGAGATTTAACCCCTAGGCCACGAGGGAGGCCTGCCTGCAGCATTTTAAAAAAAAAAAAAATGAGGCTAGAAGAGATTTGAAAGGGTTTATTTAACTAGCTTCTCTGGAAGGACAGACAGCATGTGGTAGTTATTACTTATATAGCTGTTTATGTTCCGTGGTAATGAAACGTGGTTTTTCTGCAAAAAAAAAAAAAAAAAAAACAGCTACAAGTCACCCACTCATTTCCTTGGAGCCCTTCCCCAGAGACTCAGCCTCCATTATTCAGTGGAGGTCCCACCTTCTCTCTCAGGCTGGGACCCTCACCCAGGACTACACAGATCTTGCTGTGTCTTTCTCTGACATGATCACCCACTGTAGGCATGGGCTGAAGAGGTGTTAGAATCATGAGTCCTGTTGGGTGCTGACCAGAAAGGAAACCCCAATGAGGGGACTCTCCTGTGGGTGCTGACCAGAAAGGAAACCCCAGTGAGGGGACTCTCCTGCTGGGTGCTGACCAGAAAGGAAACCCCAATTAGGGAAGTGTCCCACTGGTTTTCCTTCCTGCACCCCTAACCCCAGCTGTGCAGTGCCGACCCCTTTTGCCCTTTATAAAGGTAGATCGTCTCCCTAGCACGCAGACCTGTCACTGACTCTCGCCTTTTCTCTCCCATGGGTCTGCAGGCTGCTCTGGAAATGCTGCTGCTGCGGAAGCCAGTCAGGTTAAAATGTCATCCTTTAGCAAATTACCACTATGCCGGTAGGTTGCCAGGAGCCTGTGCCCCTTTGCTTCCTAAGAGCGGGTTGTTTACTTGTCTGGTTGTGTTGCTTTGTGTAATACAGCCCAGTTCTGTCCTACGTAATTCTCGTGGCCTCAAGACCCCCCTGGGGCGTGGCTGGTGGGCAGTTTTGTCTGTTGACTGGATGCTGTTTGACATTTAACTGTGTGGACATCTGCCCCTCAGGGGTGTGCCGAGAACTGAATGAAGGGATGGACCTTGCAGCAGGGGTTAGATCACTAGAGGCAATAGCACTCAGCAGCATCTCAACTGTGGAATCAATGGATACAGGTTCAGATCTTGCCTGCACCCCTCAGTCTTCTGCAGCCTTGATTTCCTTCCCTATGAGAGGGCGCTATCCTCCGTTCCTTGCAGCACTTTTGTGATGATTAGAGATGATATATGTAGCCCAATGCTTGGCATGTCCTAGTAGCTGTATAATTCATTTATAGAACAATTATTTATGGAGCATTTATTCTGTCCAAGGGACTACGCGCTAATAGAAAACAATAACTGGGACACACAAGGGCAGACAGAGTCCTGCCTCATGCAATTTGGAGTCTGAGGAAGGTGCATTTATTAAGCAGTGGATCACACTGTTGGCAAGTAAAGACACATACATAACGCACTCCTCAGTCTGTCTTAGGAGGATGTGACTTAACAGTGGCAGCACCAACGCGAAGGAATGAGAACAGCGTTGAGATTTGAATGGCATGAGACTGATGACGAGAAAAGGAAACAGATTGAGGTGTGTCTAAGAAGTGACAAAGGAGAGTGAAGTCTGAGTTTTTATTTCCGTTTAATGGTGCACACCTCCATTCTGAGCGTCTCCACAAACCTACCTTGGTTTTGCATCTCAAAGGGGACCAAACCCTTTGGTGCCCTTGCATTGTTAGCCAATTGGAGGTGTCTTTGGTGCTGTGGACAGACCCTCCACAGGTGGGTGCTAAATAGTGGGTTTGGGACCTGGAAATAGCTTTTCCAGTCCTAGTTCCAAGTGGCTGGTCCCAAGGTGCAGGCTGGAGCATTTTCAGTGGACTACCTACTTCCACCCCAGTTTGCGTCACTTACGGTGGCTCTTCTTCTGAGCCAGCCCTTTTGCCTGTCGTCACAGGTGGAAAGGCGTCAGGAACCCCCACGTGAGCACAGCAAGTCCAAGATGCCTGCCTGTAATCACAGGCCACTACTGCAAAGATGCAGGCACAAGATGGACGTGTGGGATGAGAAATGCATCATTTAATCAGTGGCCTCAGGAGCCAGTTTCTTGTTAATATCACCATCATTTGCTGCATCATTGTGTCTGCCCTGACTGTGGGTGGAAAGATGTGGGAGTCCTCCCTGATCTGCCATGGAAACAATTCAATACTTTCTTAATTCCCAGTGTCATCTGCTGCATGTTAAACCCTAACAGTCTGCCCAGCCTCCAGGAGCCTATCTGAAGCTTCTTTGCATCGTGGGTGAAGCAGTGGGTAGACCAGAAGGCATTTTCCAATCATCTGCTCTGAGGTGCAGCTTCCCTTGACCTTCAGGGTGGCTGTGGTGTCGGGTTCCTCTGTATGGGTCAACTCCAGCTGTGAGCAGCCCAGATCCCCTCCAGTTCTTCCCAGTGTGCCAAACAAATATTCTTATATGTATCATGACAGAAAAAGCTGGAAATATAGACTGACCAGAAGCTACCCCCTATCCCAGTCAATATAAAATAAAAACACTAAAATAATACCAAGAACTTTGAAATTAGAGGGTACCCTAAACTCTGCTAAAATGATAGTTGAGGTTGTGGATACCTAGCTCCTCCATTTCCCATTCCCTGACCCCTTCTCCCACAAGCAGACCAGGAAGGGCTCTGTTGCCTCCTGGAATTTTCTTCAAGTCTTGGAAGCAAGAGAGGTAGAGCTGAGGTATCCTGCTTATTGTCACCAAGAAAAAGGTGCTCACCTCCATCTGTTAGTCATTTGCCTTCTTTAGGAAGTGCTCACAGGTTGGGCCTCAGAGAATCTTCTAGAATTATGAACAAAATAGGCAGAGTTCACTGATCTCGAAAGTATGACATGATCCACCTCTGTAACAGTTCCCTTCCAAGCCACCAGGGAGACCACCGAGCTTGCCCCATCGTGTGCCCCAGCTTTCAGCCACCGTCTCATCTTCCAGTTTGACTCCAGGGTATCAGTGATTCTCAGGCTCATGCCCTGGCCCTTGTTTCGGGCTCCACCAGGTTGCACTCCAGTAGGAATGTGAACTCAATTCCATACTCAAAAGAGACACTGTCTTTAGCGTTTCCTTTGGGCTCTGGCTCTGGCTGTGGCCATTGTCATTGCACCTCGATACTTGGTCCTGAAAATGCACTCTCAGACTCCACGTTATCTCAAGAGAAGGATCAAGTTTCCTGGATTTGTCCATGCCCTGGAGGAAAGACAGGAAGACTGGACTCAGAGAGGGAGGCTGCAAGTTTGGGGAAAACAGAGGCACAGGACTATGGAAATCACTTTACTTACTCATGACCTTCCCATTCCACCCCCTCCCAAGAAATTTAGTAAGAAAAGGAAAAAATGACCAATGCTGGTGCCCAGAAAAGGTGGGCAGCTCACCCAGATCTTGGGGCTGTTCGCCAAAATCAGAAGAGCTCTGAGGAGAGCCCCAGAGGAAGGGGTGTTACAGGACCCCAAGGTGCACAGTTAAGTCCTCTCCCCCTCCACCCAGGCTTGGGTAGTAACATTTGTTTGCAGAGGCCCCTAGTTAGCATTGGCACTGGGTGGGGAAGACTTGAACGTCAGGAGTCAGGACCAGGAGGACTTGTGGTTGCAATTAATTAGGAGACCTGTGCCCCTGTGCCATCGTTCGCATTTGACTGGACTGCTGGTGTCTGCAGATGGGCATGGAGGAGAGTCGGAAAAGGCCCTGGGCTTCTTGGCAAGGGTTCGGCTATGCCACTGTGGGTCAGTGAGCACAGCCAATTGCTCCTTGGGTCATGGAACTCCGACCTAATTGCAGAGATGAGGAAGACCTGGAGGAAATCAATACCCATTTGGTTGGGAGAGGCCTGGCCTCTGTCTTGGCAGCTGCCCCAGTTTGATGAGACAGAATTACACACTCAAGAGAATACTTCGCAAGAAACACAGCCGTGATATCATTTGCCAGGCATGCTGAGCCCATGTCTCTGCCTGGTAGTGGTCCCCTCAAGGGCAGGAACTGAACTCTTGTTTTGCCTGACAGCACTTGGAAAGAAAAGGCTTAGTGGACAAGTTCAAGTTCTGGATGTAGATGGAGGCCTCCCTTCCTTTCACCTTCAGAGGGAACTCTGGCAGCAGGATGCTTCACCCTGCCCTCCTAAAAATTTACTCAGCCTCCACCCATCATGGAAAACCATTTAGAGGAGTGATAACCTGAACTAAAAACAGTCCACAGTTTTTCTACAATGATGTGTCTTGTATAACTGTAGTAACAGCATCAGTAAAAGTTTTTTTAAATCTGGAAGACAAAAAGGCCCTCTTCATGAGCTTCTGTACTCAAGCTTTGTCTCATCCCTCCATGCCACTTTTGAATTGCCTGGGTTCACTTTGCATTGCCCCAAATTTAGGCACGGTCCAGAGCCCGTCTCCCAGCAACAGAAGCTCGGAACATTTTTCCTGTGGATACAATTCCAGCACCCGTTTCATCCAGCTAATTAGGCTCTTTGTAATTAGCCTTAATCGTCTTGTTAAGGGCCCCTGCTGATAATAGCCCAATAGCCAGGAATCCCCAGGTAGAACAAATGAGCGCTGAGGCGTCAGCAGCCCACTAACCCTGTGTGCATGCTGAGTGGACAGCAGGGATCCTGGAGAGAAAGGAAGGGCAGAGGGAAAGGAGGGCTTGGAGGCAACATTTTATCCTGGACTTTGTCCAAGATGCAGAGTGCAAGAAGGGCTGGCTTAGAACCCTGTCTAAGAATGAGGAGCGTGCCCTGGTGAGACTGAGACTCAGGAAGCAGAACCGCCTGGAGCTTTCTTTCCTTGTAACTCAGGGGTTGAGGATGGAAGACTGGGAATTCTGAGGAGCGTGGAGTTTAAGGGGGTGTGATCATCCACACTCAGAACAAGGAAGGTGAACGAGAACCATCGACATCACATCAGTGGTGGACAGCCTGTCTCGACATGGAATCTGCTCTCTAAGTTACAATTAAGATCTGACATTCACTGTGCACTTACTTCATACCAGTGGCAGGGTGACTGTCGGAATCCCTGTGTGACCCAGAGAAAACAGACTCAGAGAAGTAAACTAGCCTAGCACCACAAAAGAAATGGCAGAACCTTTGCACCCAGACTAAAAAAAGTCCCTCCTCTTTCTTGTCACAGCAGTGATCCTATTGTTTGGGACAAGCAGCTCGGTGTTATTTCTGTATATGAGACTTGGGCCTGGAAATTCAGGCTGGGAGCTTGGGGTGGAGTCTCAGGCCTGTAGGCAATGCAGTGGTCTCAGGCCTGTGGGTAATGCAGCGGTCAGGCAGTAAAGATGGAGCCTGTTCCAGTGTGCGCTTGTGACAGGCTCACTTTACCGACCCTGCTTCTTGCTTCAGACACCCTTGTTGAGCAGACACATAGACAGTACTGTCACTTGCAAGAAAGCACAGAGCCTAGGACTAATTCAAGGAGGCATCTTTGCTCGCTGAGCACACACCCCCTGCACCGACAGCCTTGGAGTGGGAGAAGAGCACCAGGAGGAAAGCAGGAGTGTGCAGCTTCCCAGCCAGAGTTGGTGGTGCTAAATGAACGCTCTGGGATTTGGGGAGACTCAAAACTGATCACAGAGGCTTGGGATCCCTCATCACAGTCCATGAAAAGCTCCTGTGGGGCCCCAGCTAGCAAGCCATTTGGGAGCATGAAGGGACATGCGTCTCCAGAATAGACCTAGTACCCTAACGCTGCTGTGTGTGAGCAGTGCTGAGCTGGTGTGGGATGAAAGTGTGTCCTAAGTTCAGGCTGCTGGCCTGGGAAGGCTGCATAAGCTGCACTCCAGGAAACGGCATGCTCTGTCTGAGGGTGGAAACTGTTCCCATTGATCTAGTTGAGGACTTTCAACAGCAAAATGCTCCCTGATTTCCTGGAGCTGCAGGCTCGACCTGCTGCAGACAGGGACTCATCTGTGATGGGATTGTCTTCCATCATCTTTCAGACCGCTCCTTTGCTATTCTGGTTCATGCCTAAAGGGAACTGTGACTACTCTTTGGTCACCTCATTGGTTAGTCCTCTCTGGCTTTCTCTTTCTGTCTCTGCTCCGAGTAAGGAGAGCATATGGGAACCAAACCCAGAACATTGAATGCTGAGCAGAATGATCTTATCCACTTCTGCTCACATCCACCCCGAACTCCCAAACCCCCTTCTTCCTGTTCACCAGTAGAGATGTCTGTGCCTATGGAAATGTTTCCTTCCTTTGAGGATTCATTGAAAAACTACTTTCGTTCTGGGAGTAGAAATAAACTTACAATCAGGTGTTGGCCTTGCGTTTTCAGAGGTCTGAACCAGCCCAGCTGTGGAGTCTGGAGCCAGCACTCTTGGCTTAAGGACCCATCAAGAAGTCACCTACTCTTTCAAGGATTCTAGACTGTCTACCTCCACCTTCCACCTGATTCACTAATTCTGTCTGAACCTTCCAAGGGAGGAAACAATTCCAGTTTCCTGTGTTAGTCAACCATAGCAAGATGGAAACTTTCAGTTATTCCTGGCTGGATGGGAAAATACTATGGTTTGAGGGATTACAACTCGGAGAAGTGGAGAAGTATCAAAATCTCAGCCACATACCAGTCAAAGAATCAGAGATGGAGAGAATTCAAAACACCAGAAGAATGAGCTATGAAGCAGCTACTGTGGAACCCCCCTTAGAAATAGCCCTTGTTTTGTGCCTCACAATAGGCCACCACTATTCTCTATGATGATCTGCTCTCCTGCTGAGAGGAACAGCAAACTTTAGCCAGCAGAGCAGATGCACCAGCCTGGCACTGCAAGGCCTCACTCACTGGTCAGCAGAACTGGGTCTCCTCAGCTCTCCACACTCTTCCAGAAGGTTCCATACTGGAACCTTCTAGCAATCATACTGGATGATTGCTCATTCTTTGAGCACCTTTATTTTCTCAGCTAAAAAATGTGGAACAGTAATGCCAGTCTGCAGGATTGTTGGCAGAATCAAATGACATATCTGTGAAGGGCTTAGAACGTCCATATAGTAAGCACCTAAATACGTTGGTTTTTTCCTTATAGAAATAGAAATGAATAAATAGCTCTTTGTTTTAAAGTGAACAGTAAGCAATGATACTATTTTACTTTTTTTAGAGAAGTTGGACTTTTTGCCCTTAGCATCTTGCATGTAGCAGACACCTTAGGTGTCTGTTGAGTGGATTAATGAATGAATAAAATGCATCGCTCCACTGCTTGCCTCTGACATGGCACATTTTTCTCTCCCCAGAATTCCCATTCATTTCCTCCTTGCCTGATTTGCTCCTGTATCCTTTATAACTCAGGTGTTTCTCCACCTGGAAGCCTTCCCAGCTGCCTGGTGCTATAAGCTGAGTGTGAAGTCCTCCTTTATGCTCACTGGCTCCTGACCTCCACCTTCCTCATTGCACTCATCACCTTGAATACAGACCTACTGGTTTGTCTCCCCACTTGATTGTGACTCCCCACATCTTAAGAACATTGTTATTACTTGCAAAACCATAACTAAAATTTGTTGAACCCCCACTATTTTCTTTTTTTAATTAAACTTTTTTTTAAGATTTATTTATTTATACATACGGAACTGGGGTACAGGCCAGAGAGGCAGAGCAGTGAGAGGATTCACCAGAGACAGAGTGGGGAGCAGAACAAGCAGATCAACGAAGTACACTGCTGAGGGGAGCAGTGGGCGGGTCGGGAGAGGTCTGCCGTGCCATGTGGGTCACCTCCGGGTGAGGATCGAACTCATGCTGAAGTGGTTTTAGCTTCTTAGTTCTGTGCTTTAACCCGCTGTGCTGCCAGGGAGGGCCCCTGAACCCCCACTATTTTCCACTTATTGAGTGAAGCACTTTTTGTGTGTATCTTTAGCCTTCACAGAAATCTGTGGAGGTGGCACAGCTAGAATAATTCCCATTCATCAATAATAAGATAGAGTCTCAGGTTTAGGCATGCCAAGGTGAAGGCTGTAACTGGGATTTAAACCCAGGTGTCAGAGCTGCTAAAAATTATACTGACTTTTTGTTCTAAAGGGAGTTTGATGTGTATTGCATCACTTGCTAAACTTCGTATTTTGTAAATGAACCAGCAACTAAAAGTGGAGAGAACTGTGAGCTGTTCTTAAGAAGTTTGTATTTTGTTACAGGTTCGGACAAATGGACCTCCCTAGAAAGAAAACTGTTTAATAAAGCACTGGCCACTTACAGCAAAGACTTTATTTTTGTACAGAAGATGGTAAGCATGCTTGTTCCCATTATTCATTTTCAGTAGGGGAAATTGTATACCTAAAGATGTATAGAAATATTCAATTACTGGTTTAATCTTCTCCTAAGAAAAGGATGTCTTCCACCCTTCAGTGGTGATAGATGGCATTTGTTATGGGGTGACATGACCTCCAGGTTGGGGCCCGTGGGGAAGAGGAACATAGATTATTTGGACATGGCAGTAGTGAGGGGTTGTTTACATCTTAATAAAAATGCATAATTTATTAACTCCATCAGAATAAATAGAACCAGGGCTTCTGGTTCACAACTTGCATGCTTTATTTCATGTATATTTGACAGATCTATGGTATTTCTGACAGATATTTTTTCTGAGAAATTGGTGAAGCAAGGATACATTTCTTCCCCACAGCCAGTGGCAGAGTTCCTGGTACTGAGCCCCCACTCATAAGATGTCATGCTTACCAGTACTTCAGAATAAAATACAACGCTTCCCATAGATGCAGTAGTATTATATCCAGCAGATAAATACACTTAATAGGCATTAATTGGCTGAGAGGTAGGTTAGGCCCAAAGTTAAAATGATTCAAAGCATTTCAGTAAACAGGTGAAGGATGGAGTCATATGAAGTCCAATGCTTACTCCAGGCCCCCTGTGACAGCTTGCACTGGCTCCAGACTAGGCCAGAGGCCCTCATTGTTGTCCTGGGAGCAGGTCACCCATTCTTAACCCGGGATCTTACCTGGACAAGAATCAGAATAGATGGGTGTTTTCTCCAATTTGCCTTGTCTCCCAGTCTGTATTCACTCCCGCCTTGCCTGCCTTGGGGGCCACCTCCCTCTTAGCTGCCCAGATGCCAGCTAGCAGCTGCAGTCTTTCTTGAGTTCCCCACCTGCCCCAGCCCTCATGTCAAGGTCCCACTCCTTGGTGACAGATGATGGTCCCTGCATCTCGTGCTTACCAGCCATGCAGGTTCTTAAACAATAGCTTCATAGGCCATTCCTTACTCCCTGGGCGATTCTAGTAGAGAGCTTCAAAATTGCAAGTGGACATGAGAGACAGCCTGGGGAGACAGGACTTCTGGGATGTTCTCCTCCTCTGACCATGTAGGTGACCATGTGCCCACCCCACCCCCAAAGGTACAGCCAGCCTTTTATCTGCCTCTAGAAAACACACGTGGTTGAACCCTACCTTGAACTTAGTGATATATGAACTAAACAAAGGAATTCTTTCTCTTTAAAATAATCTGTCTTTGCTTTTGGGGGTGGTAAACAAGGCAGGTTGGTTTCCTGTAAAAACTAAGCTCTTGCATCATAATGTTCGATTATTAAGGAACATTTTTCTCCAGTAGATTTTGAAAGTCAGCAAGTCAGACAGCCAAACATATTCACGCACATTAAGTGGAAAAAAGCAGGCTACATTATGGGTTTAAAAAAAAAAGCTCTCTGTGCATTGACTGAAAATATCTCCAGATTTGCACATGGAAAAAAAATCAAGTTGCAAAACAATAATACATAGATTATTCCACCTTTTGTGAGGAAAAATTGGAAAGGGATCTATTTTCACATTTGTTGGTCTATGTGTTAGGACATTCTGGAATAAGACCCAAGAAATGAATACGAGTGGCCAGCTGTGTAGCAGGGTGGGGAGCAAGAACCGGATGGATGGGGACCAGGCGCAGGCAAGAGGCTGTTCAATTTTTCATTGAACTGCCTAAGCCTATTACCTATGACAGAATCACATTTTTGCAAAAACATGCTGCTTTGCATACTGCCCGCTGCTGGAGCTGATCTCGGCATGGCTTTCCCGGCAGGTGAAGTCTAAGACGGTGGCACAGTGCGTGGAATACTACTACACGTGGAAAAAAATCATGCGGTTAGGGCGGAAACACCGGACACGCCTCGCGGAAATCATTGACGATTGTGTGGTGAGTGAAGCTAAGTCGCTGCTTATGCTGGCCCCACTCCCACGCCACACCCAGGTTAGTAAGTGGCTGGTGTTTGGTTTGGCTTTGCTGCCGCAGTGGCAGCATGAGTGGGTGTCAGAGGTGTTCCCTGGTGGGATTCTGGCCTCGACTTTCTGGTATGGCTAGACACGGGGCAGGTGACTGTGGATCTGACCTGTAGCTCAGTTCCACTTGAGGTGAGGGCTGGCCTGTGTTCCAAGGCAGGTAAGGACCAGGAGAGTTAAGCCAGGATGCTCCAGCCTTGACTTGGGTGGCTTATAAAGGAGTGACCACCTGACCCCCAGGGACAGCCCTTCTTGATCTTCCACATCACAGATAACCGGAGAACGTTTGTGCCTTAAAAAGATGAAAGAGCCCTCAGATTTGACCACAACTGCCAAAAAGCATGAGCAACGAAGAACTTTGACCTCCAGATAGGGCAGGAACTCAGTTATTGAGGAGCTGGTTAGCAGGCTATAGATTATTCCAATCTTCACTTCAATATTTCCCCCAATATTGATTTCCTTCATTTCCAGACGATCCACAGTCTGCATATTAAGATTAAGTATTTACTAAAGATATAACAAGATCAGAATCTTCTCTGAACCCCTTATGTGTGGCTTTGGTAATTACTACCTCTTTCATCCTCGTGGTTAACACTCTTCTCGGCGTCCATAGTCAGGGGAAAGTTCCTTTACACTCTGAGGAAAACATTACTTACTATGTATCTGCATGTCAGAATTACTCATCTTACAACAAATTATTGACAATCCGCCTCTGTTGCCATCAGGGGGCGTGTTTGGAATTCATGAGGGGTGTGAATATTAGCAGTTATACTTTACCTCCCAGCTATGCTCCATTGTGTTAGCACGTAGTTGGGTTATTGCTTTAACAGGTATTTGCACAACCTTGTCTACGTACCAGGTTTTGTGCTAGGCACTTTACAAACCCTAACTCACTTAACAGCCTCATACCAAATGGCTGTTGAGAGTGTTGACTGGGCCTCAATCCCTTGTATAATATTTAAGAGCAGTCACATGCAGTTCTCAAAGAAAGATGTAAAAGTGCTTGATCTTCATCACCCAAGTTCCTAGCTAAGAATTGAGCTTATCTATGAAATTTATGCACATACATAGTCCAAATATAAAGACATCTGCAGAATAGAATGATGTTTCCATTCTTTCTTTTAGAGATGGCAGTATTCTATATCCAAAACTTTTGTTTGATTGATTTAAATAATAATGGTTTTACATCAAAATTGCCTTTTGCTCATCTATTGCCTGATGTTTAAAAAAACAGTGTTGCCTCCTCTGGCTCAGTCAACTAAAAGCAAACTCCTACAATGCAAACAGCAATATATATGTAATGCTATGACTGACCCAGAGGTGTTAGCTGTCTTTTCTCTGCCCTGCCCCAGTTCCCTCCACCCCCAGCACATATGCTAATTGAAAGAGACAGCATACACAAATGGAAAGCTGACCATGAACCCCAATAGTATTTAAAAGATATATGAAAGGAAGACCAGAAAATCTTAGAAACTTAGTGATGCCCTCTCATCCGGCACCACCATTCCACATTCCACAGGCAGAAAATTGAAGCCTGGAGAGGGGAAGGGACTTGCCCAAGATCACACAGAGCAAATGAGTAGAATAGATGCTAAACAAGGAAGCACAACAAATCCTGGTCTTGGAGACCTGGAAACCTGACTGGTAGGCTTGTTGACATATAAAATGGGACAAATGGTTTAAATGATTTGGAAAGTCTCTTCCAATTCTGGTGTGTTCCGACCTCTGTTCTGGCCTAGCACATGTTTTGGAAGAGGGCAGAAATCAGCGTGGTTTCCCAGGGCAATGGGTATCTCTTAGGCTTAGGTGTTACCTCAGTCACCAGTGACTGACAGTACCTGCTGGTTGGCACTCAATGAACATTTGGTGAGTGAAAGAGTACATCGTTCCTAGGGTAGGCGTCATTCTGGGGCACAGCTGTGCAATCCCTCTGTGAAGTCCCTGGGGGTAGACGCCAGACCTGGGTGTTCTGAGCAAAGGAGTACTGCTAAAGAAACGCTACCACAAGAGGCAGGTCTGCCATCTTCTGCCGGGGTACTTTGGATATGTTGAGTCAGAAGGTCCCGGCCAGCGTACAGCCTCAGACTATAGAGAGAATTGCGACCAGATGGCCGGGGGGTGGGGGGGGGCACACCTTCTTGGGCTTATTCACCAGGGGCCAAAATTAGGCTGTGTCAGGAGCATGTACACCGTGGTAACCTGTATGCTTAGAGAGAACAAAAGCTATATGCTGAGATGACTCAGGACCATAAAAACAAGAAAGTCTTGATTAAAGGCCAGCATGGCACCCACAGCTCCCTTCTAGGCACTCTAAAGGCACACTCAGCCTCCTGAGGAGAGCTTGCCAAACAGGTGAGAAATGGAGCTCATGAGGACTGGGAAGGGTGCAAAGGGCACAGTCCCAGGACAGGGCGTCCTGTCCTCTGCCCTTCAGTCCTGCTGGGATCCCTGGGGCCAGTCTCCTGGTCACGTATCCTCAATGTTTTCTTAAAGCCACAGGTTCCATTTCCCACAGATGGAACACCCTCTTGGAAGATCAGGGACTTTAGGGAGGAGAAAAGGAGAGTTTGTGAGGAATGACTACTCTTTGGAGAGCCAGAAGGTCAACAGAGCTACTCCCTCACTCATCAGTACTGAGGTGATCACAACAGGAAGAAGGGGGCCAACATGTGTTCTCTTAAGTTGGTAGGAAGAGCTTCCTGTCCCCTGTCCACACTCACGATCCTACTCAGGGAAAATCTGTGGGTCTGGCAGTGACCAAAGCTCAGCACAATTCAAGAAACCAATTGAGGCAGTCAACTGACTCTAGGAAGACAGCAGGACAAAAGAAACACTCACCCCTGGCCTGTGCACCCTGGTTAACCTGTGTCACGGTCCACTGACAAGGGGCTTGAGGAACATCCACTTTCCCTTTGACATTTTCAGGCAGTTAGTTCCAGTGGTTTTGAAAAGTTTAAGATTGTGTGCTGTGGGAGATGTGGACATTCACGCAGGGCCATCATAGAATACAGGTTTTAAATCTCAGTTCAACTTCTTAACCAGCTCTGTGACCTTTGGGAAAATGGTTCTCTAGGTAGTTACCTGCTTTGCTTAAAAAGAAAATTTATGCTAGAAATGTATTTAGATTACGTGTGTGTGTAATGCCTGATTCATAGCAGGCATTCTATGTTGTCCTCATCATCGTTAGTGACTGTGAAACTCAGATTTGTGTTTTAAGTATAAGGTGTGTTGTTGGTCATTTGTATTTTCATTTACAAATTTCTTATGATATGAATGCAGTTTGTATGTCTGAGAAATAAAATCTCTTTTTCCAGAAATGCATATGGTGGACACTCAAGGTTTGGAGCAGCATGTTACGTCTGTAACCAGCTCCCCAACCTGTATTTGCCCACCTTCTACCAATCTGGGAGTATTACTGAATGTTTTATTTCACAATACATCATAAAGTGGCCAACATGTTGTTACAGAGTTCTACATGTTAGGATCTTTGTCCTATCTTTGTATCTCTTAGTCACTTTGGTGAGCCATAGACCTTGATAATAAATCATTTTGTGAACATACATAGATTGCCAATTAAAATAAAAGCTAGCTAAATTCCTGAGACAGACATAATCATAGTACAGTATGTACTGTGTACTGTAATCTATAATTTTGTGGCTATCTGGAGCATTTCTTCTAAATTTTTAAGCTAAAGAATAGCATTGTAAGAAAACTATAATTATAACAAATACCAGATGCTGTTGTTATTAAAAGTTATTGTATAATTTATTGTCAATGCCAAGTTGTAGGCCATGGTCTACTTAATAACTGATATTTGAGACCACAAGCTTCCAGTTCTATAAAGGAATGGAGGGAACCCTTAGAGTTTGACATGAATATGATTTTTCTTAAAACTCCTTGAAATTGAAAGATGGTAGATTCACATGAGAATAAGACCACTTAAGTGAAGTCAGCCTATACATTCTGTATTACTAAGAAACCTGCAATTTATATCACAAATCACTCTGTAAAATGTATTACGTCTGCATCTGCATTCACTGAAGTCATTCAGCAAATGTAATCATTACTGATTCCGTCCAAATTAACCTACTGGAGCTGGGTACTTTCTTAAATCGGCCCTGTTGATACAGTGTCTGTCTCCAGTATGCATGAACATGATTCTGAGTACAGGTAATCCTGAATCAGTGAGGGGAATGTTCAGTGCCCTCTATGTATTGACTTTGTCTTTTCCCTAACCTGGAGAGGAACTTGTGGCTTCTGGATACCACTACTCCCAGAAATCTTTATGCTTCTTGGAAATTCTCATTTCTGGGTTGTACGATTCATGGACTCACCCTGAGTTACAGCACTGTCTGGCGTAAACCAGACTGAGCCCACGTGCTTCCATTATGGGTGTGCAGAGAGCCGGAAGGAGCAAGTGTCAGGGTTAGCTGCATGAGGCCATTTCCTTGTTTCCTTATCTTTAGAATGGGAGGACTGTTCACAGCCTGTTTGGTAAAGGATATGGTAGCAGAGTGAATAATTATTCATAGAAAATAATTTCCTTGGCCCTCCCTGGTGGCATAGTGGGTTAAAGCACAGCACTACAAAGCTGGCCACCACCGCTTCAGTGTAAATTCAATCCCCAGCCCCAGAGGTGACCCACATGGCACGGCAGACCTCTCCTGTCTTGCCCACTGCTTCCCTCAGTAGTATACTTCATCAGTCTACCTGTTCTGCTCCCCACTAAGACTCTGGTGAATCCTCTAACCACCCCTGCACCTCTGGCCTATACCCCAGTTCTGTACACGTAAATAAATAAATAATTTTTTTTAAAGGGTGATTAAAAAATTTTTTTCTTTTTCATAAAATGCCTCTGGAAGGCATTTCTCCAAGTCCATGTTCAGGTACAAGAAGCAAACACTGAATAAAAGGAAACAGCTTCTTCTATTTTCTCTCCTTTTCAAAGTTTATTTTGATTTCCTTTGTCATTCTGTGTGGACATGAGCAGAACAGGAGCACATCTGGATGTACCATATCCCAAGGCCTCAGGCCTTGGGTCAGATCTGACGTGTCAGTCATCTCACATGGAAATGTGTTATAAGGTCTGGAAAACCAATCACGATAGGCCTTTAGCCCATCTCCAGGGGTATTTCTGCAATGAGAGGCCTACAAGCCAGTCGGCCTGCCTTTCCTTCAGTGTCAAGGTCTACCTATCTCCAACATGGAGGGGTGGGTCAGCTCTGCATATGGAAGTGTCTCCACCTAGTCTTAGCACATTTTTATGTAAGTGATAAGGGAACCCAGAGGAGGCAGGGGGCTCCCTGAACCTCAAAACTCCAAGTGGCCAAGCCTTTAGACTGTGCCTCCCCTGAGGTCTGTCACCACTCCTTAGACAGAAGGCCAGCACAGCCCTCCTCTCCTCTCCTGGCCTGTGGGTTCTGTTCATCAACTAAAAATGCCATTTGGGGACTTCCCCCTTTTGCTTTTATTGCCTTAACACCAGACAAGTGAAGAAGAAGAAGAGTTAGAGGAGGAGGAGGAGGACCCTGAAGAAGATAGAAAATCCACTAGAGAAGAGGAGAGTGAAGTGCCGAAGTCCCCAGAGCCTCCCCCAGGGCCTGTCCTGGCTCCCACCGAAGGGCCGCCCCTGCAGGCCCTCTGCCAGCCCTCAGGCTCCTTCATCTGTGAAATGCCCAACTGCGGGGCTGTAAGTGTCTTTGCGTCCTCTGGGGATCCAGGGCTAGTGGGGGCCATACGACTGTGCCTGGCTTTAAGAGACATTGCGTTTTAGAATGCTTTAGGGTGCACTTCCAGTCATGAAGGTTTGGCAGTAGGGAGTCCATGTGGTGTGGTTCTCTTTCTTTCATTCCCCTTACTTACTCATCGATATTTCTGGAGTGTGATGTGCCAGGCACTTGGCTGCATACTGGAAGGCCACAGAGAGTCCCTGCCCTCGGGCAGCAGCCTCTTGGCTCCTGTGGACTGTGTCACATCAATCAGTTTGTGCCCTGTAGACACACATCTGACTGTTCTCGGGGAGCCCACAGAGAGGGATTGTCTCTCCCCTCACATAATCCCTTGCCCCCACTGCCTGCGGTTTTTACCTGTCTGGAAGGTTTTGCATTGCATGTTCCATAAAGTATTTCACATTCCATAAAGTGTCCCTGAATAAAGTATTCCATAAGGTGTCCCTTGAATAACCTGGGGGTGAAGGGCCCCGACCCTTCTCCACGTTGCAGATCCATGTAAAACTTGGATCCCAAAACTTAACTTATAATACCCCATTGTTGACTGGAAGCTTTGTGATGGGATGACATAAACAAATATTTATCCATCCTGTAAGTTTTCATTGTCTGTTCCCAGGGAAATCTGATTGTAAGCAGACCTACATAGTTCAAATCTGTGTTGTTCAAAGGTCAACTGTAATTTGAACCCTGAGAATATTGTTAAAAGATTGAGTTATAAAAAATTTATTTTAAATTCCTTTTTTTGAGGGGGCAGGGAGATTTAGTAAATGACTGAAAGGGAGTAATTACTTAACCTGGTATTCCAGTCCATTTAAAGCATCCTTTGGTCAAAATAAAAGGAATTCACTCTTTGCTGGTCCTTAGCATTAAAGGAAGGCCTCCTTGACTCTGCCCTGGCCTTGTTGAAGGCTCCCTGTTTATGATAAAGGACATTTTATAAGTTGTTTACTTTAGACTCTCAGCCCCTACTGACCCCTGATGAGTCTGAATTGTTGAACTTTACCCTAACGGGTTTCTTAAAACCGGGCACACCTGTATAGGCACGTGCTAAACATATTACTCAAAAAATAAGAATGTTGCCCTTTTCACTGGAAGTCCTGTTTTAGTCAGGTTAGTGCTTAACTTGCTTGTCCGTTACATAGGACAATACTCTTTTTCCAGAGTGTTTTGGATGCTCTTTAGTAAGTCTTTCTCTTAGATGAAGAGAGCCATCTTTGAAATATTTAGATCCTGAAGCAGAGATGAATTTGATTTACATGTAAGAAAAAATGAAAAAGTAGAAAGAAAAAAGATTCTATACATATTGCATTAGCTTTGAAGAGAACGTAAGATGTTGCTGGCTTGTTGCTGTCCTTGATGACTGATGGCCTGGACACCCCACTCATTGCCATTTTGTATAGAGGGCTTCCACTCGAGGTGACTAAGATGTGACTTTAAATGACAGTATTTCTGTATTTTCTTTAGAAACTGGGTGCTTCCTCAAGGCCATGTTTGGTATACAGTAAATTCCTTACTGAGTGGGAAATCATCTTACTTTCCCAGTCAGAAATGCTCAGCAGGATGGATTTTTTTTTTAATGACTTTTAAAACCACAGAGGAAATTATTGTGTTGGTTTTTTCCTTGCCTAAATCTCGGGGGGGGGGGGGGGGAAGAAATGTAGCCCTGAATGGGGTGGAAGAATAATTTCTGGCTTAAAAAAATTTCAAAAACTGATCTAACCCCTCTCTCCTTTTATAAATAGTAAAAATAAGGGTGAGAGGACAAGGGTCCACAGACCCCCAGGTAGAGGCAGTGGGTGTAGCCTCAGTCTCCTGGCCTCCACACAGTGACTTTGCCCTTGATCCCCTGCTGTGTTGCCTGTCTTCTGATCTTAACAGCCATGGGACTTTTTATTGGCAAGCGTTTGTGGTTGTGGTATTTGATCTCTATTCTCTGAGACATCTGCCCAAAATTGGCATGTATAAAACCCCTGTGCTCTGTCATTAGACACTTGTTTCTAATATGTCATGTTTTGCCACTGAGTAACTAATAACCCTAATTTCCTTTTCAGGACTGTAGATGTCATGTCACTCCCTTTCTTCCCCAGGTGTTCAGCTCCCGACAGGCACTGAACGGCCATGCCCGTATCCACGGTGGCACCAACCAGGTGACCAAAGCCCGAGGTGTTGTGCCCTCTGGGAAGCAGAAGCCCGGTAGTGCCCAGAGCGGGTACTGCTCCGTGAAGAGCTCACCCTCACACAGCACCACCAGTGGCGAAACAGACCCCACCACCATCTTCCCCTGCAAGGAGTGTGGCAAGTAGGTGGAGCTAGACCAGGGAGTGATGGGTTTGTGATCTGTGATAGGTATTCTCCGTGGGGACTAGACCAAGGTACACTGAGGTTTCTTCAGCTAGGAAAAGGACCCAGGCTTTCCTGATCCCTTCCACCCCCGTGCCATCCTTGGGTTCTGGATGCACCATGTGGGTCACCTCCCTACCTGGGCATTGAACTTGTACTGCAGTGGTGGCAGATAACTTCATAGTGCTGTGATTTAACCCCCTGAGCCATCAGGGGGTTACCTGGTTGGCCTCTTTCCAGGTCATACTTCTCTTTACATCTGAGGCATTAGAGAGTATAGAATGAGAACCCCAGAAGAGTTCCTTAAGGCGGTCTTGAAAGACAGAGTAAGACTGCCTTCCACATCAGGCACTCACTGAGAAGGAAACTAACTCTGTAGTAGATGTTCAGGATGAGTGGCTGT